GTAGAGACGGGGTTTCACCATGTTGACCAGGATGGTCTCGATCTCTTGACCTCGTGATCCACCCGCCTCGGCCTCCCAAAGTGCTGGGATTACAGGCTTGAGCCACCGCGCCCGGCCTGAAAAAATTTATTTATTTACATATTTTTTGAGACAGAGTTTTGTTCTTGTTGCCCAGGCTGGAGTGTAATGGCGCAGTTTCAGCTCACTGCAACCTCCACTTCCCAGGGCCATGCGATTCTCCTGCCTCAGACTACCAAGTAGCTGTGATTACCAGTGTCTGCCACCACACCCAGCTAATTTTTTTGTATTTTTAGTAGAGATGGGGTTTCACCATGTTGGCCAGGCTGGTCTTGAACTCCTGACCTCAGGTGATCCGCCCATCTAGGCCTCTCAAAGTGCTGGGATTACAGATGTGAGCCACCGTGCCCTGCCAGCATCTGTTATTCTTTTTTTTTTTTTCCCCCAGCATCTGTTATTCTTTAACATTGACAAAAACTCTCCCTTAACCAAACCTTTTATTCAGGCTCCTTGGGGCTTTCTTCTCAACTAGGCCTCCACCTTGGCCTGTATCCTGTCTTTGGCCTGCCCAATCCAGTCTTAGCAAGAATCTCCTCACCCTTAATGCATCATCTTAGTAATTTTCCACCCATTGACCCCTCTTTACTTTGTTCATTGGCTGTAAATGCCCAGCTGTTGATGTTGTTTTCAGAACTGTGCCTGATCTCTCTCTCCTGTTGCAATGCTCCTGCTGCAATCATCTTGAATAAAGTTTTTCTTACCATTTTAACTAGTGTCAGGATAACTTTTTTCTTTCTTTTTATTTTTTTTTTTTTGTTTGAAATGCAGTCTTACTCCGTTGCCCAGGCTGGAGTGTGGTAGCACAATCTTGGCTCATTGGAACCTGTGCCTCCCAGGTTAAAGCAATTCTCCTGCCTCAGCCTCCCGAGTAGCTGGAATTACAGGTGTGCACCACCCCACCTGGCTAATTTTTGTATTTTTAGTAGACAGGGTTTCACCATGTTGGCCAGGCTGGTCTCCAACTTCTGACCTCAGGTGATCTGCCCACCTCATCCTCCCAAGTGCTGGGATTACAGGCATAAACCACCGTAACTTTTTTATTTAACAATGCCTTCAAACAGTTGTTTATACACACACACACACACTCCAGCTTGTATAGTTGGTTTCGGTGTGAGGGTTAGTTAGATACAAGTTGGTACATTATGGCTGAAACTGGATAACAAATATGTATTATTTTAAACATTTCTTTTTTTTTTTTTTTGAGACGGAGTTTTGCTCTTGTTACCCAGGCTGGAGTGCAATGGCGCGATCTCGGCTCACCGCAACCTCTGCCTCCTGGGTCCAGGCAATTCTCCTGCCTCAGCCTCCTGAGTAGCTGGGACTACAGGCACGCGCCACCATGCCCAGCTAATTTTTTGTATTTTTAGTAGAGACGGGGGTTTCACCATGTTGACCAGGATGGTCTCGATCTCTTGACCTCGTGATCCACCCGCCTCGGCCTCCCAAAGTGCTGGGATTACAGGCGTGAGCCACCGCGCCTGGCCCTAAACATTTCTTTTAAAACAATAATATGTTTAACTAGCTCATCTGGAACCAGTCTTCCCTGAAGGTTATTATTGTAAAAGTTTTAATACCCTGTGTAGATAATTGAATTGTCCAGGTTTTCTAGACCAGTACATTTCTTTGATGTTTTCAAAGCCACTAACAGAATTACTCATATTTTTATTTTTAATCTCCATAATTACGTTTATATATCCTTTATGTCTAATTCTATGTTTTTAAATCTTTTTCCTTTTAAACTAGCTAGTATAATATACTGCAGAGTGTTATCTGTGGAAAGCCTGCATTAGAATATCTGGATGACACTTAAAAGTAGTAACTGAATTAATTTTCTGAATCATCAATGGATGCTGAAACTAGTAGGCGAAAACTTTTTGGGGAAACAGACTGGTCAAACAGTCTCAGAGTATCATCCTCATGGATTACTTATTCCATAGGAATCATCCACCTTTACAGTGGAGAGATCTGACAGTCACAGGCTTACCAAGTCATTAAGCTTAGCATCACCAACAGTGGGACAGCATATGCTTTCTGAAGTGAGGCAATGAAGTACTTAAAATCAGCTGCATATTCTTGCCAAAAATGTTTAACCTGGAATCTAACCATGAATCATATAGAATTCACCAGGCAAATCCAGATTGTGGTGCATTCTACTTCACAATTCCCTGGACCTTCAAAGAAGTCAACACAGCCAATAATATGTGAATATTGATTTGATCCTGGGTTGGAAAAAAAGTCATCTATGAAAGATATTTTTTGAGACAAGTGGGGAAACTTAAATATAACTGTACATTGAATTTTATATATAGGGCTGGGCATGGTGGTTCATGCCTGTAATTGTAGCACTTTGGGAGGCTGAGGCGGGCGGATCACTTGAGGTCAAGAGTTCGAGACCAGCCTGACCAATATGGTGAAACCCCGTCATTGCTAAAAATACAAAAAATTAGTTGGGTGTTGTGGCACGTGCCTGTAGTCCCAGCTACTCAAAAGGCTGAGGCAGGAAAATCGCTTGAGCCCAGGAGGTGGAGACTGCAGTTAAGTGGAGATCATGCTATTGCACTCCAGCCTTGGCAACACAGCGAGACTCCATCTCAAAAAAAAAAATTACATATAGATGACTTTATGATATGGTTAACTTAGTAAGGTGTGATAATGGTATAACTTGTAGCACGATGTCCCCTTGTCTTTAGGAATTGCCGGCTGGCATTGGGGAAGGGGTTGTGCATCCACCATTTCAGTCCCTACCACTACAAGTCTCTTCCCAAGAACGTTCCTCTCCCAAAGCAGTTTCCATTCTAAATGCCTAACAGCTGGAAGTCCCCTCTGGTGGTTTGACAAGTGGAGTGATTTTACAGGAGAAAGCCAGGTTTGGGGTTTACTGTTAAGTTGACTTGGCATTTGTAATCTGTAAGGCTCTTCCTACAAAGAATAGGTGTTTCCAACTGTAGTTGCCTGGTCAAAAACTATTTCTTGGGTTTTCTACTTTCTGCCTTTAACAGCTGACTTAACTCAGGGCCTGCCTCACTGCAGAGGGGGAAGGAAGGCCTCTGTCCCCTAATCATGATGATCCACATGTAAATACTGCCTGGAAAGGGGTAATACAGTTGATAGTGCCTTTTATGTGTGTGTGTTTTTAATTTTTTTTTTTTTTAATTTCAGGCTTAGGCAGTGGTTTGTTCAGTGCAAGAACTGAAAGCAAGTCCCACGAGGGAAGGTGGGTGAGGGTTTTCAAATACAGGGATGGAAGCAGTAGAAGGAAATGTCTCTTAGGCCTGGACACGGAACCAAAGGGGCAAATTAGAAGGGAAAGGGAGAGGTCACTGGGGTTCTAAGCCTTCCACCTCTGCTCCCGGAATTTCCACAGGTTCCGCGGCCATCCGGAGCGGTGACTTGGCCACGCCTGGGGCACAGGGCTGTGAGAAGTCCTGTCGTCCCCTCCCCACATGTTCCCTTGGCTATACTCTCCTGCCCCTCCACTTCCAGACGAAACACTCCTCGGGACCCGTCCTAGATACACTACGAGGGCGCTGGAGCTGGTGATGAGAGGCCTGCAGGAAGGAAGAGGCAGGAGTGAGAGCCGCCTGCAGATCCGCGATGCATCTTAAAATTACAAATTCTCAGGCCCTACCCCAGACCCACTGAGTCAGAATATCCAGGGCATGGGGCCTGGGGGTGGGTGCCCTGGGCCCGGCCGCACCCAGCCTGCAGAAGCTCCACCTCTAGGAGCGCGGGGCTTGGACGAGCACCCCACGCCCCTGCCTCCGGGCAGCCAGAGCCCCCTTCTGTCCCACCTCCCGCGGCCGCGCACAGCGGCCACCCCGGCGTTCGGGGGCGCGCGCAGTCAGGGAGGGGCCGGCGGAGGCGCTAGGCTCCCGGAAGCGCCTTTCCCGGAAGGCAGAGAGGCGGTGCCGGCCTCCGGAGGCGGTCTCGGCGATGGCGGCGGCGTTCTGTCCTTAGCCTGGGGAGCCGCGCAGCCGGAGGATGGCCTCGCTTGGGCCGGCCGCAGCTGGGGAGCAGGTGCCGGGGGCTGAGGCGGAGCCGGGCCCCGCGGGGCCGCCGCCGCCCTCGCCGTCCTCTCTGGGGCCCCTTCTCCCCCTCCAGCGGGAACCTCTCTACAACTGGCAGGCGACCAAGGCGTCGCTGAAGGAGCGCTTCGCCTTCCTCTTCAACTCAGAGCTGCTGAGCGATGTGCGCTTCGTGCTGGGCAAGGGCCGCGGCGCCGCCACCGCCGGGGGCCCGCAGCGCATCCCCGCCCACCGGTTTGTACTGGCGGCCGGCAGCGCCGTCTTCGACGCCATGTTCAACGGCGGCATGGCCACTACGTCGGCCGAGATCGAGCTGCCGGACGTGGAGCCCGCCGCCTTCCTGGCGCTGCTGAGGTGAGCGGCGGCGCGGGCCGGGACGCCTCCCGGGGTCCGGCCTGCCTCGACTACCCGATGACCTTGGGCTGGGCTCCTCTGAGCCGCCCTGGGCCTCAGTTTACTCCCGAGCCGCTGATGCTCCGGAGGGTCGTAATTGAAATCTGTGAGTCGGACGGCTCGGCCGTCAACTGTACGCTCATGTCTCCTCTGTCCAGCTAGCGTGCGTTTTACCGTTGAAAGGCGCTTCGCATTCCAATTGCAGACTGTCGCCCAGGCTTCAGAATTAGACAAGTGGTAAAGATAGAGGGACAGATCAGGTTGATCCTGATTGCCCATTTGCAAAGTTTTATGTTTTCGTCTGGGGAAAAAGAGTAGTTGGAAAGTCTTGCAGGACTGATATTTTGGGGTTGTTGTCACCCGCCCCCCCCCCCTTTTTTTGAGACGGGACGGGGTCTTGCTCTCTCGCCCAGGCTGGAGTACAGTGGCGCGATCATGGCTCACTGCAGCCTTGATTTCTCTGAGCTCAGGTGATCCCACCTCAGCCCCCTGAGTAGCTGGGACTACAGATACGCGCCACCACGCCCGGCTAATTTTTTTTTTTTTTTTTTGGTCGGGGTTTCACTGTGTTGCCCACGTTGGTCTCAGACTCCTGGGGTCAAGCGATCCGCCCACCTCAGCCTCTCAAAGTGCTGTGATTACAGGAGTGAGCCATTGTGCCTGGCCACTTTTTTGTTTTTGTTTTTCATTAACGTATTAGTTGTCAAGACCCAGGAAAGTAAATACCAAAACAGGTAAGTGAGGCTTTACCTGCTCCGTGTTTCTGCACACAAGGTCACTTCTGCTTATAAATGAATCCCTCCCTTGGTGGTAGAGTTTGCTTGTTGGTTGGGGATAGTAGATTGACATCTGATGAATTTTATTTAATGGAAAGATGTGATTGATTGGCATTATTAGCTTTTAATCACAGCCATCCTGTTAGAGAGGCTTAAGTATTGTTTTCCCCAATTTTACAAATGGGACTGAGGCCCAGAAGAGTCAATTATCTTGCCCAGGGTAACAGCTAACTCACACTGAAGACCATGTGTATTTCATTGTACCAAGATGGTTTTAAATAGCTGCCTGAGTAGAACGTGTTGTTATTAAAGTGGCAGAGTCTTGGGTAGTACTGAAGCAAAAACAGGCAGGTCAATGGGACAGAATTAGATACAAAGGCTCACAGCTGAATCAGAAAGAACAACAAGAAAATAAATGTAAAGTTCACACAACTAGAAACAAATACTAAGATTCCATTGACAAATGGATAAAGGACAGGATAGATAACTTAGAGAAAGAAAAACTACAACTAATTAACGAATGTTTAACCTGCTGGTAATTAATAAGTGCAAATTAAAAGAGAGTGACATTTTTTTCCTTCCATTGGTCCCACCAAAAAATTTAAATGTGACATCTGAGCAGCATTTTCTGACAAAGATGGTGGTAAAAACCCTTTTGGAAAATAGTTTGATGCTATAGATTTTCTTTCCACATGTAAGAAAGCCTTCAAGTACTGAAAAAATGTTGCATACAAAAATACTTACGTTATTTATAGTAGTGAGGAAGTAGCTGTAGTGAATGGTTAAACAGTGATCAGTCTACTTGATGAAAAATAATGCAGTCACTAAATATGATAGATAGCACTTGAAATGGCGCCATGATTCCGACGTGAAAAGAAATGGGACAAATGTACCTAGAGACAAGGATAAAAGGAAACGTACCAAAATGCTAAGCATAGGCATGTGGAGTAGTAAGATTAAAGTACCTTTTTCTCTTCTTTTCTCTTTGTTTCTGATATTTTCTGTAATTTAGTTCAGTTACATTTATAAAGGGGCAAGGACCTCAAAAGCTAGGATCCAGGTAATTTTAGTTTGAAGTTCACCAGGAGGATTGGGTATAGTTCATTTGGATTTTCTAGACTAGATGTATTTTTCAAAATGATCTGTGGGCCGTCTGCATTATAATCTTCTGGGGTGCTTATGAAATGTGTAGATCCCTTCCTTGTTATAGTATCATAATATTTGGAGGTGAAACCTTGATAGCATTTTTAACACTCTCCCTAAGTGGTACTTATACCAGCTAAATTTGAGAACCACAAATCTAAAACTATTTGGGGGCAAATTTTTACTTTGAAAAAATATTGAGATTACTAGGATAAGAATGTAGAGGAAAAAATGCATATTTCATATTTTCACTGAAGCTGCTAATTAGTCTTTTCCCATCAATAGAAAATAAGGTAGTTTTCGAGTGTTTGAAATGTAGGACAGTGCAATTTTTTTTTTTTTACATTTTTAAACTTTTTCATTTTTACATTTTTACATTTCAAGGCATTGTATTTATCCTTCAGGTTCTGGTCATTGTTCTATTTTGAAATTGATATTGGGACTGACTTCTAAACTTAGTGTTGGCTGGCTGTGTAACATAGATGTCATAAGTCAGCTAATACATGACAAAAAGATGCCTGACAGTACTTGCTGAGTTGGAAAAGCAGGGTTGTTTGGGCACACATGTAAACACCTTGAATTAGTTAACGTTACTTACAGGCTTATGAATTTAAGTTTGAAGCCCTTAAAGAAACTGCATACTTTGAACTGCCTGACCTTTAAATGATGTTCTTCAGTTGTTTATTTGACAAATACTATATGCCTCCCTTTTGGGGTGCTTGTGAAACAGTGAATCGCTATTGTAGGTGTTTGGGATACAGCAGTAAACAAAAAGTCCTTGCCCTCATGAAGCACATAATCTAGCAAGGGGAAACTAAAGATACAATGTCAAGTACTGATGAATGTTTTGAAGAAAAATAATGGAGTTATGAGAGAAGGAATATTCTCAGCAAGGAAGCGCATTGTTTTAGGCACTAAGGATCTCCTATTGGAGGAACACAAGAGTGAACCCGTGTGGCTTGAGCACAGTAGAGGGAAGTGGTAGAAAATGAGGTCAAAAAGAAGGCCAGGCAGGATTGTGCAGGGCTTTAGAGACTGAGAGGACTTTTTTCAGCTGGTAGGTGATGGAAAGCCTTTGCAGAGTTTTGAATGGGGGTGGGAAGGTAGAGGTGGTGGCAGGTGGCTGTGATCTGATTTACATTTTTAAAAAACAAACGCTTTCTGGCAGTGGTTGGAATAAAATAGGCAGCAAGGTGATAGATGGGGAGACTTTTGCCTTGTCCAGGCAAGAGGTGATGGTGAGTTGTACCTTGTACCAGGGAGGTAGCAATAGGTATGATGAGTTGTGGTCAAACTCTGGGTATATATATATATATTTTTTTATTTTATTTATTTATTTTTTTTTTGAGACGGAGTTTCGCTCTTGTTACCCAGGCTGGAGTGCAATGGCGCGATCTCGGCTCACCGCAACCTCCGCCTCCTGGGTTCAGGCAATTCTCCTGCCTCAGCCTCCTGAGTAGCTGGGACTACAGGCACACGCCACCATGCCCAGCTAATTTTTTGTATTTTTAGTAGAGACGGGGTTTCACCGTGTTGACCAGGATGGTCTCGATCTCTTGACCTCATGATCCACCCGCCTCGGCCTCCCAAAGTGCTGGGATTACAGGCGTGAGCCACCGCGCCCGGCCTATTTTTGAAGGTACAACCAAGAGGACTTCCAAGACATCCAAGTAGGGTCATAGAGTAGACAGAAATATTAATTTGGAGGTTAGGGAATAGCTTGCTGAACATACATTTGAAAGTTAAGAGTGAATGGTATTTAAATTGGGAAACCAGGTGAGATTACCTAAGAAATGAATATAGATTGTGAAGAGAGGTACAAGGATGAGCTCTGGAATCTTCCAATATGTAGAGATGTAGCCGAGAAGAAGCATAAAATGAAACTGAGAAGCAGCTCTCAGTGGAATTAAAAGAGAAAGCAAGGAGCATAGTATCCTGAAAGTCAAGTCAAAGCATTTCAAGAAAGAAGTGGGAAACGTTGTCAACTATGGAAAGTGGTCAGTTATGCTAAATACTGTTGAGAGTCAGGTAAAATGAAGACACTGAGTTGATGTTTAGTCTTGACAAGATAGAAGCTATTGATAACCCTGCCAAGAGTGATTTCAGCTGATTGGAGTAGGCTGGGGAGAAAATGGAGAGAAGGAGCTGGAGATAGCTAGTGTAAACAATCCTCTCAGGAGTTTTGTTGCCAAGGGGAACAGAGAGTGATGTGATGGCTGGAAGGGGAATGGAACGGGGTAAGTGTTCTTCAGGATTCTGTCCTCAGCTGTCATCCTTTCTCCCATTAACTAAAGTGAGAGCTTTATGCACTCACTCTGCCACCTGTGTCTCCAAAGCTCTACTTAGCTCCGGACCCTCGCTTCCAACTGGACTGTTGCAAAGGAGTGTTTTATATTCATGCAGATGGACGTGTTATTAATAAAGACATCTGACATTTCATGAGCGCTTACTGTGTAATATAAATTGTTCCTAAGCCCCTTTGTGATCTCACTTAAATTTCAGAAAAATGCTTTTGAGACAGGCATACTTCTTACTGCCCTCCAGTAGCTTTTGACATATTAATGCTATAACTAAAGCAACCCCTCCCAAAGCAATAATTTATTCTTGCTTATGATTCTGTGGGCCAGCTGGGAAGTTACTTAATGGGCTTAGCTCCAAATTGTAGTTTGGTTTCCTTCTGTTCTACACGCTTCTCGTCCATTTTAGACCATTCCTGAGAATTTTACCTGCCCCTGTCCATTTTTTTCTGCATTGCTTCAACCAGACTACTTAGACTTAACTGTCTCCATTCACCCTGTTAACACTGATCTCTCCAATATCCATTTATTGTCATATGATTCCCCCGAATCTCTTAATGACTTCTTTTTACCTGCAAGATGAAGTTTAAACACTTCAGCAGTACATGAAGCCTTTGTGATTTGACCTCTCTTCCTCCCTGTCCACTCAGTATTTCAACCCTAATTACTAATGGCTTTTTTCTTGTTTGAGTGCCTGCCTTCTAAGGCCTCCTTACCTTTGTACTTCTCAGTCCTTCTGCCAGGG